AGCTGGGGGGGTTCAGTTGCCTACCCAGGCAGTACACACTCCTTCCATTTGTGATTGTTTTATACATACAAACTGTTGGTACATACTTGACCTCATTCAGTTTAGACCATCAGCCTGTACACAGGCAGGGCAATGATCATGGAGGTCATTTATAAATGAAGGCAAGTCCAGGCAGTCACTGACTCACCTAGGGGAATGCACACCTATAGTGATAGGAAGGCCAGAACCAGAAGCCACATCTTCTTCTCAAGGAGTCCTCACACCTGTCTCTAGCTGGCTTCATGGGTTGGTTAGGATTAGGTCAAGCTGTGAGTAGTGGAGACCCAACCACCGAGTTAAGGTAGCCCACTTCCACTGCTACAATCAAGAAGCACCAAAGGGGCAGTTCAAGGCTAATAGGATGGATCACTGGTCATCAGGAATTCAGAGTCCTCTTTTTACTCCAGTGTCCTAATCTGGTCCCATCTTCATAGTCCCAAATGGCTGCTGAGTTCAAGCCATTGCATTAGCACTCCAGGCAGCAAAGAAGAAAGGAAGGGAGAAGAGTTCATTTCTCCCCTTTTTAAGGGGACTTCCTGGAAGTTCCACATAACACTTCCACTTGAATCTCATTGGCAAGACTTAGTTGCAAGGGAAGCTGGGAAATGTAGTCTTTTGTTTGTGGATGCAATGTGGGCAGCTAAAATCATGATTCTATTAGTAGGGAGAAGAGGAGGAGGAATACTGAAGTAGGCAACTGGCAGTCTTGGCCACATTCCCTGCTCCCCTTCCTTTTGGTGTTACCGTCATCCACTCATCAACATTCCAACACCTTCTGGGAAAGAGGTACCAAAGAAAATAAGCTCGGGCCCTCAAGACATTCAGAGTCATGGCTTCCAAGGCCTTCAGGACCTGGTCCCTAGATGGTCCCCCATGCCCCCTCCCACTTCCTCCGGCAGCAGGTCGCCCTTCCTCTGTGTGTCCTTCAGCCTTGATCATGCCCCAGCTTTCTCCTTCCAGAAAAGCCCTTCCTTCAATCCTGCCTTCCCCGATGGCTACCAAGGTCTCTCTCCCCTCCCTGCAGGCAGGCCTGCAGCTCGCTGCAAAGTTGGGAATCACATGACACTTCTTTCACAGTTTTCAAGTTATCAGCTCTGTGTTTCCAGGGGAAGTATCTCCAAATTTAACCTGATGGGGCAAACTGCAAATCTGAAAAAAAGCACAACCTATACATTAGAGAGGGTCCCAAACATCTGGAAACACACGGAAAATACTGAGCTGGTGATTTGAAAACTAACCAGTTATTCATAACGAACACATTGTGCAGAAACCTTTCTCTCCTGGCTTTGCAGACACCACACATGTGCGCGCACGCACACACACACACCCAGACACACACACACACACACACATACACACATGCTTGAAATAACAATGCCAACAGCCCCGTTTCTACTCCCTCACACCCTCCCTGCTCTGCCGCTCACCACAGCCTGGCCTCTGTCCCCGCCTTGTTGCTCACACTGTCGCCAGGCGCACTGGCCAACCTACAGCCACACAGACCCAGAGCTCCTTCCCACCTCCCCTTCCCCTGTGCAGGAATGAAGGGGGCTGACCCCTGTCTCTGCCTCTGGCCAGCTGGGGGCCTCAGATGGGGCTATTAACCCCTCCGTGCCTCTGTTTCCTTATCTGAGAAGGGGATAATGACAGCTGGTGGAGGTAACGGGGTAAAGCAGGTGGGACAGTCACGCTGCCTCGCTGTCTCCGGATCTTCCTACCCTGGATGCTCTCTCCCAGGCTTGGCTTCCGGGGCTCATCTCCCTGTCTAAAGCTCACGAGAAGGTCCAAGCACCACCCCCTTGTGATCCCCTGAGGCTGTTCCCTGCACAGATCCCTGAGGTCGGTCTGGGGTCGAGCCCAGGAATCTGCATTTTAAAAGGCCACTCATGTGTGCTTACATTGGAGAACCCGTCCTCAGTTCCCTTTTCCCTCCAGAATCTCTCCATCATCCCCCGGCTTCACCCTGACACACAGGCAACCCACATGGGACAGTGCATGGCAAGGAGCACCTGTGTCATTGATTCCGGTGTCAAGGCCAGAGATCTGGAAATCGTCGGACCGAGTCATTCAGACAGCTGTGTTTCCCTGGAGACCATCATCTGGACACTGTCTGGGGAGAGGTAACCCTTCCTAAAGCACCCAAGAATTTTTGTTTGTACTATTCGGTTCCTGAAATACGTTGTGTTTCTGCCTCGTGAAGCAGAGTACGTAAACACAGCTGAACCTTTCCTTAGCGACTAAGGTCATCGTTGTGAACATAACGTCCTAATGTGCGGCATTCCCCGTGTGGGGCTGTGACCGCCACGCAGTGAGTTCTCAGGCTGGAGCAGCTTCATAAGGAACACCTCTCTCACTCTAAGGTATTTCAATATATCATCAGCTTGAAACCAATAAAGAGGTGTTAGGGTGTGGCTAGTTAAAGATTAAAGGGGATCTGTGTAAGGGGATCCTGGGGCTCCTCTGCGGACAGAGAACCCAGATTGCAGCTGATGCTCCCTGAAACATCTTTCAGGTACCCAGGGGCGGGCTCCTTCTTCAGGATTTGCTCACGACTGTGGTCCAGAGAGGGGCTGTCTAGCTGCAGTCCACGTGGAGTCCCCGTTGTGGGCTTTCCCAAGCTCTCTATCCACCTACATTGGCCCACGCGTGCAGGCATCCAACCAATTCTTTAAACTCAAACTATCAATCTACGGACTTTAAGCCTGTGCAGTGGAACTGTGAGCAGTAACTCCAGGAGGAGCTCCTCATCTCCCCCTAGTGGTGGAAGGGAGTGTGTAAGAAGGTGATGGGAGCCAAAAACAACACTGCACCAAAAACCCCGGAGTGCCGTCAATGGTTTAAGTTCAATCCTTAAGTCACCCTCTACCAAATTTTCCAAGATGACCCCATGTTCCACAAATTCCAGAACCGAGTTTTAAGTCCCCCTAGGAAAGCGCCTGTGTTTCAGATAAACGTGACCATCTAGGGCTTGGGCGTATTTAGAATCTCCAGGAAAAGTCAACAGCCCCCGTCCTTGGGTTTCTGAGGCGCCCAGCAGGGAAGGGAGGGAAGGTCTGGGGTTGGAGGACTGGATATGGTGTCGGGTGGCCGCCAGGCATGCTGGGAGCCAGGAACACCCTAGATCCACAGAAAGGGAAAGAACCATCCTAGATCAGGGCGGGCCTGTGGTGGGTCAGGCTGACCAGGGCCCCCTAACAAAGGCAGGATGGTTGGCCCTGGGCCCAGGGTCAGTTCTGAGACCAACCCGAGCAAGTCAGGGAAGCACTGGGGTTGGAGGGCAGAAATCCTGGGGCGTTCCGCTTCCGTTCTGGTGTCTGCTCACGTGCCACAAGACCCAGGCCACACTGACTGGGGATTAGCAGCTTGTTGGGTCAAGCTACAGATGTAAACACTGCCTTCTAAATTGTGATTAAGAGCATCAGAAATCACAGTAAAATCTGAGAAAGAGAGAATTCCTTGTTCATCTCGTTTAAAATTCAAAGTTCCACCAACCTGGGCCAGAGTGGGGAAGACATGTTAATAATATACAGTTGGTCCTTCAACAACGCAGAGGTTAGGGGTGCCAAAGCCTTGTGCAGTCAAAAATCCACATGTTTTGGGGGCACCTGGGTGGCTCAGTGGGTTAAGCCTCTGCCTTCGGCTCAGGTCATGATCTCAGAGTCCCAGGATCAAGCCCTGCATCGGGCTCTCTGTTTGGCGGGGAGCCTGCTTCTCCTTTTCTCTCTGCCTGCCTCTCTGTCTACTTCTGATTTCTCTAATAAATAAAACCTTAAAAAAAAAAATCCACGTGTTTTAACTTTTGGCTCCCCAAAACTTAACGGCCCATTGTTGACTGGAAGTCTTACCAACTAACATAAAGCTGATTAACAGGTATTTGGTATATGTATTATGTGATATATTTTTAAAGTAAGCTAGAGAAGAAATGTTAAGAAAATCATAAGGAAAACACAGTACAGTACTGTACTGTCTTTATGGAAAAAGGCCTGCTTATGAGTAGAGCCCTGCAGTTCAAACCTAGGGGGGTCAAGGGCCAATTGGACACTCATGCAAATTTCCCACGTGGCCACCAGCAAAGGGACCGGAGCAAACACTGCACCGTATGTTCGGCTTTGGTTCCTGCTTCCTCATCCCCCACCCACTCTGGTATCAACAGAAATGAGACAACATGAATCTTTTAACAGAGATCTCAGGCTGTTAGGTGCTGAGTCAAAAAAAATCTTAGTATCACTTCTCTCATATCTGGAAGTCTCCTTAGCTCAACTCCCCACTCATCTCTCCTCAGCAAATCCCAACAGGCAAACGCGGGGAGAGGACAGTATACCCACTCGTCTCACTCTCTCACGACAGGGCTCAGTGACAGGAGTTCTTCCGAGACTCCCACCCAGGGTGGCCGGTGGGTCTCACCCTGTAGCCCGCCCCATGAGGACCCTCCTGGCTCAGCAGAGACGCCAATGCTCCCTGGGGAAGTGAGCGTGCAGCTTCCCTCCACCCCAACAATGAAAATATGGCATAAAGTGGGTAAGAGAAGAGACTGCGGGAGGGCAGCAGAGAAGAGGGCTGGGAAGGACTGGGGAGGACAGGTGGCTGAGGCTTCCACCCTTGAGCAGGTGCCACTTCTCCTGCGGCCCAGTTCTGCATCAAGAGCACCTGTGACGTGGCACCCAGAGCTGGGACGGGCTGGGAGGGGTGCGGGCTTGCAAAACTGCCCCCCTCACAACATGGTGGGTGTGTGTCTGTGTGAGACCAAAAGACTGGCTAATTCCAGAGACAGACACTCCCTTTTTTACAAAGGTATTTTATTTTAATAAACAAAATACAGGTTCTTTTAAGAGCATAAAAAAGTTCATATTATTTTTTTTTAAGATTTTATTTATTTATTTGACAGAGAGATCGCAAGTAGGCAGAGAGGCAGGCAGAGAGAGAGAGGAGGAAGAGCTCCCCACTAAGCAGAGAGCCTGATGCGGGGCTCGATCCCAGGACCCTGAGACCATGACCTGAGCTGAAGGCAGAGGCTTAACCCACTGAGCCACCCAGGTGCCCCAAAAGTTCATATAATTTTAAGTTAACCCTACAGGTTGGGAGTTTATCCTCCGACACATCATGCTGTAATTGTCTCCTCTTTCTTCTCAGCCAGAATCCACTCAGGCTGACATGTAAACGCAAATTCTAGAAAGGAAGATCAAAAGGACAAGTAAGAAACGTCTGAATGTTTTACTTGCTTGGCATTACCCCTCATGCTCGGCCATTTCAACTTAGCCAGCAGGAACTACTGAAGTCTATCTATTAAAGAATGTATTTTCACAAACTCCTGATTTTCTGCCCATCTAAAAATCCCCCTTCTTTAAAACTGGGCTCGATAATACATTAATAAAAAGATAAAAAATTTAAAAAAATAATAAATAAAAATAAATTTTTTAAAAGATGACATGGATGGAACTAGAGGGTATTAATACATGAATAAATGAATAAAAATTTAAAAAAAATAAATAAAATAAATTAAAAAAATAAAACCAGGCTCGAGGCTGGAGGGAAAATGAAGGGTCAGGCCTGTTGCCCCCCCCCCACCCCCGCTTTCCCTGGAGCCCTCCGTGGATGCCTATGGGAGGGGAGAGGCATTTACGCCCCACGCCCCACCTTTCCCTTCCTCTTCTCGGTCTCACACACAAAAGAAGGACTCTGCCCAGGGCAGGACTTCAACCTGCAACATTTCAGAGGACCGGCCTCCCTTGCCTGTTTTACTTTTGTTCTCCCTTGTGCCTGAGGGTTTCAGTTTCAGTCAGTAAAACACCTTTTCCCAAAAAAAGGAAGGGTCCCTGACAGAAACTTCTTTGGCCTGGTAGAAGCTTCCAGCCTGCCAAGGACCCACATGGTGCCAACAGAGGAGGGGGTTCCCAGCCCGGGTAAGGACCGAACAGCCACAGTGGAATTCCCTACGTTTGGGAAGGTGACGGGTCAGGGTGAGGCCCAGGGGGCACAGGTCTGACCTGGGCTCAGTTCTGACCCGGCTCTTCACTAAGTCGTGTGTCAGCCCTTTCTCCGTCTGAACAGGCCTCACGGAGCCCTCAGAAGGGGGACTGCCACCATCTAAGAAACACTGAGCAAACGCTAGCCCCCACAACGGTCGTTCAGCACAAGCGCTGCTACGAGTACTTGTTAGTGTGCTGTTCCCCTCCACACACGTAGAAATCCTCCACAGGAATCCCACTGACAGAAGTGTGGCACCTCAGGGCAGAGAGGGCTTCTGGAGATCGCTGGCCCACTGCCTCCCAGAGCGACGGCAGACGGGGCCGCCTCAGGGTCCCCTCACTAGGACGTTTGCACCCAGCCAGGGGCTGGGGCCTGGAAATCTGCACTTCTACCAATTCTGATCATCAGCCAAGTGTGGGGACCACTGATCAAGAAAGCCCTGACACCGTATTTGAATCTTCTAATTTTTAGAGAAGCACAGAATTCAACCTGATCCGTGAAGAAATGGGATCAGTGCGGGAGAATGACCATCATAAGCTCAACCTGTAATGGGGACTTAAGCTCAGCAAACGTGTTCTGGGCACCTCCTGTGGGTCCACGACGATGAGTAAGACTTCGTGCCCGGTGAAGACGCTACGAGGAAGGGCCCTCTGGGACTAACTGGCAAAGGCCGAGGGGCGTGAAAGTCTATCATGGCTGAAGAATGGCCTGCGGAGTGTGGGGAGGGGGCGCTAGAGGGGACAGATGGGACCCGGGTGAAGGACACATGTGGGGATTGTGATGCCATTCCTACAACTCAGACTTTATCCTGAAGACACAGCAGGATTTCTTAATCCTAGGTGAGGGCATGGGTTTCAAAAGACCTGTGGCCACCACACCTCCTCCGCACCCCCGTCTGTCTGCCATTTTCTGTACAACGGTGGGTGATTCTAACACGCATCCTTCTGCTGGGAGAAGGTCCCAACTTTCGCGAACTTCTCAGGAGTCCTGTGACCCAGGAGCGGTTAAGCACCAGGGTCCCTGACTAAGGCTGCCGCAGCACAGGCTTCAGGCAGGTGTGAAGAATGAGCCGTGTGGCCTGGCTGGTCTGCACCAGGGCACAGGGTCAGGGTGTGCACGCCTCGCCTTCCACAGACGTTCTGCTTCAGACACCAGAGGAGCCCGAGGGCTGAGGGGTTCTCCGACTGCCTCATCTGGGGACCAGTCCAGCCCACCGGACACTCCACACGCGCCAAGTCCTCGTACCTCTGACTTCCCTTTAGTTCTCCTTCTTCTCCAACTGCTTCTTTTTCTCAGCTTCCAGTTGTTGCTGTTTTGCTTCCAACCTTTTCCTCTGGTATATTTTGACTCCAGCAAATGCCAGGCAGAGAATTAAGGTTTTGGCTGCCAAGATATACAGTAGCAGGGGCACGTGTTCCAGAACCTTAGAGAAGAAAACGAGCATTCTCAATGTTCCATGATTGATAAGAAAGCTTTCTTTCGAGTTCCTTCATCTAACAAACCTTTACTGTCCACCTCTTATGTAACAGGCACTAGGTGAGGCGCTGGGGCCACACCAGTGACCAGGACAGGCAAGGTCCCCGGCCCTGCGCCGGCCAGCCGAGGTCTACCTCTGCCCCCACTGTGCCCCCCATCACTCCCCCACTGCTGGCTGCACAAGAGAACTGCCCGTGGACTGCGGACATAACTCTGGTCTCTCACAACCAGACAACACACTTTGCCAGTACCCCAGGCCCTCTACTCCTGAGGCAGTGCCATGGTCCAGGAGCCAGAGCTGGGGGCCTGGGTGACAGCTCTGCTCTGCCCCCCGCTGACCACGTGACTGGTGCCAATCACGTGACTTTCTGAGCTGCTGCCTCTTCAGGGGAGGCTGGACCAGACCTTCCTTCTGGATTCTCCAACTTTGGCATGCTACGCTTTCCTCTTGGTTGTGGCTACTCATTAGTTCTGGCACTTGAAGGTAAAGTAAACATAAAAAGAGAACAAAATTCAAAATACAAGGGGCACCTGGGGGGCTCAGTCGGTTAGGCATCTGCCTCTTGATCTCAGCTCAGGTCTTGATCTCAGGGTCACAAGTTCAAGCCCCATGCTGGGCTCCACACAGGGCATGGAGCCTTCTTACAAAAAAAAAAAAAATTCAGAACATGAAAACTTAGCTACCTATTAACTGTTCCTGTAATTTTCTGTAGGAGGGAAGCTTTAGCCCAAGGGCTAAAATGATACCCGGGGAACAGCTATGGATTTGAATTACTGTCTGTACTAGTAAGGTACACTATTACGATAATCTCGGTAGCACAATAGCATCTCTGGGCAAACACGATACTCATTTCAGAAACATGAGTAATGGGACCTGAATAACAATGATGAGCTTTTAGTGTGATTAAAAATTCCTTCCCAAATAAAGGCATGCTTTTTCTGAGTGATCACCATTCTAGAGGACTAGGCAGGATTTAGTCCAATGCAATCATTAAATCTCCAAACATCACTTATGCAATTCCTATACAATGACTTCTGGCATGGGAAGAACGTTTGTCTCTGCTTGTAACACTTTAACTCGACCGGTCAGAGGAAACTTCAGCTGGGAACGACATGCTCACAGAGCTCGAGGCCCAGGGGAGATTTCACAGATGACCTAGACCCCCACGTGGTTTCACAAACAAGGAGAGCGAAGCTCCTCGTGGCGGGGAGAGGCCAACCCGAGTCACATAGTGAATAATTCATGAGGAGGCCAGACTCAGAATGAAACGGTCTAACCTCTACGCCAGCCTTCTTCCCCCTGCATCCTGATTTCCAAGGAAACGGAATTAACACAATCATAAATTACGTGCATAGGTGTTCATCCAGTTTTATTAAAATTCTCGATGACTGAGGCCTACACGCAGATTTCACACGCAGAAGACCGAGCATCAGTTAGGCCCACTGGGAACTTACTGCGCTCAACGACTCCCCTACATTTTCCCCAGGATTCTCATCGGATCCCCGGGAGACAGGGACACTGTCCTAATTGTGTGGCTGAGAAAGTGTAAAGTCTGGAAAAGTGCTCTGACGGCTCCGAAGCCTGAACTCTCTTCATTATTACACAACGCTGTAACATCTCCCACATTCTCCCCAGCCCTCCCCAGTTTTACACCTAAATTACGCAAAGAAATGAAGCCTTGGCTACTGAAATTTCCCAAAGGCAACCGGAATCACTACCTCTGAAATCTTTTAGCCAGTTACTTATGGATATTTGAGGAAGGTTGCCATGTGATACAGCAGGAATGTACCAGAGAGTAAAAGGAGGAACCTGAACACTTAAAACGTCTGAATTTAACTATAACAGTTAAGATTACAAGAACATGGAGTAACTGGATAATAGTTTCCAACCGCAAAGTCATTTTAAGAGAAAAAAATAAATATAACATAAATGCTTCAGAAAGATCACTCTAGTAAACAGCATGAAAGATTAAAAAATTTGCAGCAGTGAAACTTTTTCTCCTGACAAATATAAGCGGCTTAGAGCACAGACCTTCCGGGGCTCCTGGGTGGCTCAGTCAGTTAAACGTCTGAGTCCTGATTTCAACTCAGGTTGTGATCTCCGGGCTGTGGGATCGAGCCCCCAGTTGGGCTCTGTGCTGGGTGTGGAGCCTGCTTGGGATTCTCTCCCTCCCTCCCTCTCCCTCTGCCTGCCCCCACCCCCATGTTCATGCTCTCTAAAAAAAAAACAAAACAAAACAAAAAAAAAAAACCTTAAAAAAGAAAATCAATAAAATAAAAGCCTTCTCTGTGCCCTGCCTTCAACCTGTGTTAACCCCAGACCTAAGTGGTCAGGAACTGGGGGTGGGTCCACAGCTTGTGTTTTAACAAGTCCTCAGCTGGTTCTGATGCACTGAGGTGTGAGAGCCACTGCCTTGGAGCATTACGCATGACGCTCTGAGTCCTGCTGATGTGGCCCTTTGCACCAGTGACTGCCTTGGACTGTGGTCACCGCAGACAGGACAAGCCCTGCCCTAAATCCCACCGCACGCTGCTTCCCGCTTCTTCCCCTCAGACCCCCTCACCGCCTCGGCTTTCCTTCCCAGCTGTTCTGCTGTGAGCTCTGGAACCCCAGTGTATGTTCAACAAACACTCCTACATTTTCGACCCCTTCAAGAAACCCTCACTCTGCCTCTTTTTTTCTTTTTTTTTTTTTAATTTTATTTATTTGACAGAGTGAGAGAGAGATCACAAGCAGGCTGAGAGAGAAGGGAAATAGGATCCCCGCTGAGCAGAGAGCCCGACGTGGGGCTCGATCCCAGGACCCTGAGATCATGACCAGAGCTAAAGGCAGAGGCTTAACCCACGGAGCCAACCAGGCGCTCCTCTCCCTCTGCCCGTTAACCTCAACCAGGCTTGTCCTGGAGAATAGTCCATGGCCTCCCTGCGTGGCCCCGAAACCCCTCCCTAAAGTTGCTGAGGAAGGAGAGGGGTTCTCTATCTCCCAGTTCCCGGGTCCTGCTTCCAGATCTTTCCAGTAAGCCTTGCAATGGAAAGCTGGTGGATGTTCTGAGCTAGGAAATGTTCATAATTGAAAAAAAAAAATACATACAATGAGATTGTTAAGTTTGAAAATATACACACTACACTTACATGTATGGAAAAAAGACTGGAAGAAAACACAACAAAATTGTTAATAGTAACTATCTCTGGAGGGTGAGATAACACAATTTTTACTGGATTTTAAACTTCCAAAGAATCGACGATAAAATATATTTTGGTGGCTGTTCTCTTAACCTTTACCGCACCCCATGCACTTCAGGGATTTAACGTGATGACTCTCCTTTCCCTCTGTGAGCCCTGCTGACGGCTGCCCAAGGCCCACTAAAGGCCCACAGCTTGCAGGCTACTGTGTGACTGTCCTTGGACCTGTGCTCCTGGAGGCTGAGTCTATGCTACAGAGGACAGCTGGGATTATTCCTCAACTAGTTGAAGTTGTACTTGATGTTATAATGGATAATTTATCTAAATACAACACTTACAAAATATGGCTATATCACACAAGGAAAAAATTGTTTCCATGAAAACTAAATTGAATGCTTTCAATGCATTTTCAAATTTGGGTTGGAAAAAAAAAAAGTGCTGTTGGCAACACAAATGTAAAAGATTAGGAAGAACATAAAAATCTGGAAATATCTTGTATGTAGACTGTTTCCTAAAATATGAACCCACTTTAAAGAAACCAAAATGTGAAACTGTAGGAAAACTTTAAAGGCATGATTTTTGCAAGACGAGTGAGGCAGATGTGAAGTCTGTATACCCACTCAAAGAAAGAGCCTCGCCTTCCCCCAAAAGTCTGGGGAATAAATGTACTTTTATATGTTTGAACTTAAACTATTAAGTATTATTAGGATTCCTGCTTTAATCCACTTTTTTCTTTTTAATCAACCTGTATCTACAGAACTGTTATTCTGAATTTATATAAGGAGGAGAAAGAAGAAACCCAAGCCATAATGGTGAACACTGTTCTCACCTTCCAGTTCATGTTGGGTGGATTCACTCTGGGTCAATGCAGGCCCCCTCAGACAAGCACATGAGGAGAGGAGCTCGAAGGGCAGGTCTTGCTGTACTGGTGGGAAAGAGAAGAAAAGGGTCACTCACGGTTTTCTGGAGCAGACCACCATAGGAAGACCTCTTTGATGGAGAGAAAGGGTGCATTGAGCAAAAAGAGTGAGGGCTGCAGACAGGAGGGGTCAGTGTCCCTAACAATGTAACCCAGAGCCTGATGGAAAGCAGATGGCCTGGCTTAGGGCTGACGCAGGCCTGGGTCTTGGTGAGCAGAAACGTCACCCTGGCTGCTCTCTGCCGAGCACAGCCCGGGAGCAGAGGTGGCAGTGCTGCTCCTAAGGGGACACACGCTCCCATCCCTTTCATCTGTGGATGTAACAGCGCAAGTCCAAAGCTACTTCTCCCCCCACCTCCTGGCCTGAGCAAGAGCTGGGTTGTTCATGAGTGTCTTTCTGTTTTTCAGGTCCTCTGAGTGTTAATGAAGCAAATCTTGGTTCTTAAAAAATATCTGGAGGGGAGTAAATGATAGGGGGAAAAAATGTCCTTCGAAAGCAATTCCTATCTAGAATTTCATCTCAGCTGTGAGGGAGACCTAGGGGAAGGTGAAGCAGGGAGTGGAGGGCAGGGACACGGCCGGGGCACAGTATGTGCTCCAAGCCTGTATGTCACTATTTTTAGAATATGGCACATACCCCCAGAGTCAGAAGACTTGAACTCTGCATGAAGAACCTACACTCTGGTAAGTGACTTCCCTCTCAGGGCCTTGGTCCCATCTGTCAATGAAGAAAGGGGGTGTCAACTAGATGGGCCGTAGGGCCCTGATTTTTTCTGAAATTGGGCAGCTTAGAGCAGAATCATAGCTTCACTTCACAGTGCGGGGCGGCACGAGAGCACATCAGCTGCATGAACTCATGCAGCCCTAGGAGGTAGAGGTTATGGTTCCATTTCAGAGATGAGGAGACAAAGTTAATGGAACGCGTCCAGGGTCGACGGGGACTGGGATTTGAACCCATCTGGTGTGACTCTCGAGTCTTATCCTGATGTGGGCAGAAAGCTTTGCATTCAAAAACCATGGAGATGCTTGTCTTGACATGTACTTAGAATTAAGAAAAGCACAAGACAATGTCACAGGCCTTTAGAATGGGGATAATAAAATGGCTTCAGGGAAAAATGTTTTACTAAAACTTTTACTTACAAAAACATCTAAATATAGAAAATTCAGACCTCATCTAGTCAAGGTCATAGTATCTGGAAAACAGGCTGGTGGTTGGCACAAGATAACCCAGTTTTCCCCATGACTTCTTTCAAAGCCAGGTAAGTTAATGATAGGAACGTACACCATAAATCTGTTTAAATGCGATAACGGTGATTCTCTTCATGGATTAAGGGCCTGTTTATCTTCTAGTAGCAGCAGATTCTGACTTGCACCACAGAAATATGTTCCTAATAGGTTATAACCTATTGCTAGAATTTTCACTTTTAGGAATCTTGGATAATCTCGGGGATTAGCCATACTGTAGCTTACAACATTTAAGGTTATGTAAATTTTATTTTTACAACTCTTGCCCTAATTGAGTTGGGTACAAATATCGTAGGTGAGTTTAGCTGTTCCTAATTTTCTGAGGTCCTATTAATGTAATTAATATATTAATTACATGAATTAATCGAAGAATTAATGGCTTAACGTAAGACACATTAATGGATTAATGTAAGATATTGATTCCCAAGGTCAAGGACGAAAAATTGGTCCAAAAAGCTTATAGGAAGAAATAAATTAAAAAGAACACCCAGTGGGGCGCCTGGCTGGCTCAGTCAGTAAAGCGTACCACTCTTGATCTTGAGGTGGTGAGTTTGAGCTCTGCATTGGGTGTGCAGATTATTCAAGGAAATTAAAAAAAAAAACAAAAAACAGTGTTGACTTAATAAACAACAACAACACAGGACTATGATTATGACTGGGGTGACCTTGGACAAGTCGCTTGGCCTCTCTGAGCCTCAGGTCCCTCATTTGTGAATTCTTCGGAGGCCCGATTGTAAACACAAAGCAGAGCACCATGCTCAACACATGGAAAACATTAAATAAATACCGTTATTGTCATGACAAATCTCTCTCTTTCTGTTAATGGACATGCCAAGCTTAAGAACCATAAACAAGAGGCAAGAAGGGCAAAACGCCGTCGATGAAGACAGCAGGGACCAAGAGAGCCAGACTCTATTTTTGGTGGCACCCCTGGCAGGCACGTGACCTGGGGTAAGCCATTCACCTCCCTGAACCAAAACGTTCTCGTTTTAAACACCAGAATCCAAAGAACAACTCTGCAATTCTGGCATTCGTAAGTCAAATGGGATGCCACAGAATCGGACTATGAAAATTTACTGGCAGTCTCCACAACTTCATACAGAGAGGGAGAACATTCAAGCTCTTTAGAAAGAAACATATTTAAAGTCAACCTGCAAACAAGGTAGTGGAAGGGAGGCAGGGAGAGAATGGGAGACAAGGCAGTTGATCAATTCAGCTCGTTCCTACCTGCTGCCTCCAAATGCTAACTTTCCCCACCCCCCTGCACTAACATACTCCAACTCAGCCATTTCTGTAGCACCCCAGCAGGACTTCAGCAAAGGAGAACAACTGAGAAAGCTAAAAATATCAGCAGGCTATTAGCTCCAAGCCATAAGCACACACCTGCTGCAGAATCACGCACAGGAGACAGCTGGTATCTGAGGGCTGAATGGCAAAAGCCAGTCAGATGGGGACACTTTTGAGATATAAAATCTGTGAAGTGCAGGAAGTTTTTAGACTTTCCCTAGAACTATCCACAAACCTAGCTTAAATCTCAAAAATAACAATGGCTCAGACAGAAATGGTTCTGTCTCCTTTACTGGAAAAATAGTCTCATTTTTCCTTTGCCAGTTTTCTCCTAAAAACCAGAAAAGCTCTCCGCTTATTTGGGTTAGGTCAGTGAACGCAATATGGATAACATATTGTCCGCAATCTACATTTTCTTCTAAGCACACCTAACTCTAGGATCGTCTGTCCCTTCGTGTCTACGCTCTTGAAGCCGCTGAGTATGTCAGCCCGAACGTTCCGAATATGTTCGCGTTCCCAGTCTCCACCCTTGTCACCCCAACTATTCCCCCCATCCTTGGAAGCTGGAAGGTGCAGGGAGGAGTTAGTTAGTTTCGGGTGAACCTTGGGCATCACTCCGTGGACCACTGAGCCCCTGTCCTCGGTCACCTGGGATTCCCAGGGCCAGAGACACTGGAGCTCGGCTCCTCCGTAACCGGGGGACCAGGCCAGGGTCCCCTCCGCCCCGACACCTGGGGAACAACACCTATCCCGCTCAGACCCGGAGATGGGGGCCACGGGCGGCCGTTGCTTCCCCCACCCATTCACAGAACAGACTGTCCAGAGCACTCGCTCATCCGCCCAAACTCTCTGGCCAGAACAACTCGGCCTAGCGCAGATCTCTTGCCAGCTTAAACATTGCGCCCCCGGCGCCGGGTCGGGCGGATTCCGCGGCGACTGGACGCCGGAGCCAGGCAGGGGCGCTCCGCGGGTGGGGACCGCGACGTCCCTCCCCCTCCCGGTCCCCACCCGGAGAGCTGGCGCCGCGCGGCAGGGGGCCGGCTGGCGGACATCCTGGACAAAACGGGCCAACGGCGGGCCGTCCACCCGACTCCCCAGCGCCTCAAAGAGCTGTCGGGCTTCGGGTCAGGATCCCGCTGACCGGACGTCACCCACTTACAGCTCCAGGCCGCGTAGGTTCCAGCGCCGGGACTGCACAAGAACCTCAACTCCCACAATGCTACGGGGAAACTACAGGTCCCGAAATGCACCGCACCGCGCGCCGGCGCAGTGGGTCCGGGCTGCTTTTCAGCGGTGGTGAGCGGAGCGCGCCGGCGCAGTGAGCCGCTGTGGGCCGGGCGTTGGGAGACTGCGCAGGGGTCAAGGGTCACGATGGGCCCGGGCGGGTGAGGCTGTCCAGGCCACGGTTCTGAATTTACCTGGGCTGGGGGAGGAGGCGGCCGGAGAGCTGGGGCTCTCGCGTCCCTGCTGTCTGCGACTGAGGATCCTTGGCTCCCCAGAAGTTTCCAGATGTGGCGTTCATGTCCTCTGACAACATGCGTGCATTTGCCTTTGGGAAAGCGCTTGCCCCCATCCTGGGTTCCCAGACTCCCTCAACAAAGGCGCGGCACGCGCGTAGGGTCTGGGCACGCTCAGTCCCTGCCCCACGGGAGGGCGCAAGCCGGACCCCAAAGACCGGATGACGACAGGGAATGTCCACGGAGTTCTTTCTGTGGACCGAGGAAACCGGCAAGGGGAGAAGAAGTGGCTGGCGCAAGAAAACGCGCGACTTGGCAGGGACAGAATCTAGATTCGAACCCAGGCGGACTGACTCCAGATCCCACTGTGACGTTCTGCGGTGATGAAGTACACGATGTTAGGAACGCAGACGAAGGGTCAAACCGAGGGGGGAGGGGTTCGTTGCGTCGACCAGCGACGTTTTCCCATAGAAAGGAACAAAGAGCGTTGTCCTGAGCGCTGTGAGGCTCTGGTCTCGTGGAAGTCTCACCCCAGCCTGTAGAAGGACGTAAAAGACCCAAGGCGCAGATGAAGAAGCGGAGAGCTGAGACTTTAAAGCGATTTCCCAGGGTTTTAAAGCCGGCAAGTGCCACAGCTGGGACCTGGCTCTCTGTAGCGGATGTAAACTCCCATCAGGGCAGCAAGGACCATGGGCTCTTTTTCCAACCACGTGTGAACTCTGCTTGTAAGAAGGAAGTGGGGTTCAGATCTTAGGGAGTCAGTCATCCAAGCAGATGGAGCTCTAAAAGCAAAGCCGGTGGGAGGTGGGGTGGGGAGCACAGCGAGCTGTTTGAACTGCGGTCTTTAGTTGCCCAGTTGAAAGTGGCCAGCCTGGAATTTGGGGAATCAGTGCTGAAGTGGCAGATGGGGGAAAGTGGTTTCAACAACTGTATACCCAACATGCTTCTAAACATCGGCCACTCCTCCCATCCCCCAAAAGTAAAGTTGGCTGATAACCATCTACCTTGACACTACTTTCAGCGGTGATAATAAAATGTACTTTCTTAGAAAAGTCTAAATTTCTTTCCCTCCATTTGGTTTCCTGTGTCAAAGATCAAGCCGGGCACCAGTGAAAGCCTTAAGCATAGACTTCACTTTATTCAGTAACTACTGCAGTAGAGAAGAGGGCCCAGTCTGTTTTGATTTATGCAGTGGTAACAGGGCATTTTAAAGAAAAAATGAGGGGTAGAGTCAGTGGAGCAGAATCAGGGATGTGGATATGTACAAAAACCAGGGGATTACTCATTCTAATCTTGTTAATAGGCACTTATCTGAAATAGAGACTGTTTTTACGACCAGAAGCAATGATGCAGGTTAGAGCAAGGTCCCCCGACTTGGTCGGGAGAGTTACCTCCTTGAATGCTGGCATTTCAGAGACGAGAGAGTTCTGGGTGGTAAAAGGTTTCTATCCCAAAGAGGGAGAGAAAAGATTTATAATTCCAAGTTTTCTAAAGTGCCTGATTTTAGAGGGGATTCAGGGAGCTGATCTGCTTCTCTCTAGGCTTTGGCTGGAACCAAGAGTTAATTCTCCTGGAAGCTTGTTGAGTTTTCTCAGGCAGACACTCCAAAGGGGTTTGGGGTCATCTTAGGGATGAGACTTTGAGCTGTTAGAAGCTATGCTAGAGTTTGTTCAAGTCTCTTAGCGTGGAGAGGGGGACAAAATCATTTATGCCAAGTGCCTGCACTGTTTGTAAGCCAAGGTTGAGGCCTCCTTGAGGGCCCAGAAGAGCCTGACCAGAGGTTAGTGATGAAGATAGTCTTGGTCATGTGGTGGAAAGCTTGGATCTCTGCCTGGATCCAGACCCAAAGCCAGGATTTTGTAGCAGGGGTGCCCAGTCTGGGCACACTGGGACCAATGTTCTGTGTGCAGTTGCATTTCTGGGTTTCTGATCTGAGAAAGGAGGCCACTCTTGCCACATCTGCTCTGGGAATATAAATGGCTTTCAGTAACATTCTATGTAAGGTTTATGTTGGCGTAATTGCAGGTTTGTTACTAGGAATCAGATACCTAGTAGATATCTCAGTCTGGAGATAGAATCCTTAGGGTCAATGGGAGACATCCTACAACCATGCCTTGAAAAAGCGCTTCTTTTTTGAATTTTGTCTTAGCATCCTGACACTTGAGGTCCTACTCACAATTTCTGTGTTTTGGCTGAGTAGATGGCGGAGGAGAAAGCCAAGCGGCGGGGGGTGCGGAGGGCACAAAGCCACAACTTCATACATCTATCTTGGCTCCGACTTCCTACTCTCAGCGACTCTGACAGTGTAGACTGCTCCAGTTCTGCCCACTCTGTGCTGATCTCTGTACCTGACCTTCTCTAATGAGTAGGTTGACTCCAGCTCAGGGAGTCTCATTCATCTCCACTCTCCTGGGGTCTGTGCCAGTAGCCCAAGCAGAGTAGACAGGTGCTAAATATTGGTTGATTTAATTAGCAGATGAAGTCACCTAATCTGTGGACTGCATCTGTAATGCGGTCTCTGGATGTAATGAACTGTCTAGCTTTTCAGCGGACACGGGTAGTTCACTTTCTGTACCATCAACCCCTTGAAACATAAGTGAAAATAAGTAATTATAAATGGAAGAAGATAAACAGAGTTGAAAAAATATGTTATTTATAAGGCAATATTACAACTTTTCCTTATTTTTTCTACAGTAACAAGAGCTTTGGAGAGTTAGTTTTCTGGAAAACTTTAAGTGTTAATTTAAAAATAGGTTTCTGGGGTGTGGGTGGCTCAGCCATTAAGCATCTGTTTTTGGCTCAGGTCATGATCTCAGAGTCCTGGAATCCAGCCCTGCATCAGGCTCCCCGCTAAGCGGGAAACCTCCTTCTCCCTCTCCCACTCACCCTGCTTGTGTTCCCTCTCTCTGTCAAATAAATAAATAAAATCCTTTGAAAAAAAAATAAAATAGGTTTCTGTTGTATTGGGTAGTTCTTAAAGATGCTATGTCTCTGTTGGGGACGATTTGCCCTTGTGAAATATTTGTTCTGTCTTCAGACTTCCAAATAAGCAAAATGTCAGGAAAACAATACCCATAAAGTAACCTGGTGATTCTGTTCATTCATTACTTCAGACTCTGCATTCCTGAATTAATGAATAAACACTCTGATGTCAAGCCAGCGAGCAAGTGATGCGGTTTTGAACCACAGCTTCTGGATAATACAGCTGGGTTATTTATAAAGTGAATTTGTCACATGCAAAGCCGCGTTTTGTAAGAAAGAAGGTTTGTGATTTATTAGTCACCCCCCCCCCCCCATCAGCACTGCCGTCACACACGTCCTTCACTTCAAATTTGACTTTATTTTCACTAACTTGACAACATTTGTCACGGTGGACATCGGTTAAAATGCCATTAACATTGCCCAGAACTTAAAAGAGGTCTTCCACATAAAATATGGCTCCGATGAGCAAGTATAAATCACCGAGAGTAAAATGTCATCTATCTTGGTTGAGCGGCCACATGATCTCCGTGAAAGTTCTCCACAGCAAGCAAGGAACTGAGTGTCTCCTAACCAATGACAACTTGGGTTTGCTCCACGACAGGGCATCTCTTCGGACCCGGATATCAGATGTTGGCTTTGTGCCTATTCTGTTTCTCAAGGTCCCATTTTGAACCCTGCTGCACCCACGTTCTCGTGGAAGGTGGTCTTTGATTCTTCTAGATTCAAGATTTGATTCTTGTACTTCTCTTGCCAGTCTTCCACGATGTACTGGTGGTAGGGGTCGTTGGAGTGCTCCTGCCGCTTGGATTTCACGGTGCTCACCAGGATCGCTACGATGATGAACGAGAACATTCCGATCATCACCATGAGGTACAGGATGACATAGTAGAAGTTCTCAGCATCGAGTTTGGCTTGTAGGGCCTCTTGCTCAGCTGTTGTGTTCCTGCGCCAGTTGTCCATATAAGTAATAAAAACCCTTTTGAAGACATCTTCCAGGGTTTGTGTCAGGTTGGATAAAGTAGGCATAGCTTCCTCCTGCTGCAATTTGAATGATAAAATAGATGAGCAAGGTGGAGAACACTGACTCTTTCTGCATTTGACTACTTTAGGGGATAAAGTGAGGGGGAATACAAAGGGAGAGGTAATATTTCTTCTTACCTAGCTGGTGATTGACAGATTGAGTGCATTTTGTTGTTGTTGTTGTTGTTGTTCCTTAAGCGTTGCGCATGCAAATTGATGCATTTTTTTAGATGCGGGTTACCTTACCATAAAAATTTGATGGGGGGGGTGGCTGGGTGGCTCAGTGTGCTAAGCCTCTGCCTTCGGCTCAGGTCATGGTCTCAGGGTCCTGGGATGGAGATCCACATTGGGCTCCCTGCTCAGCAGGGAGCCTGCTTCCCCCTCTCCCTCTGCCTGCCTCTCTGTCTACTTGTGATCTCTCGCTTTCTCTCTCTCTCTCTCTCTGTCAAATAAATAAAATCTTTTAAAAAATTCAATGATCAGTTACTTTAAGAAAATTTAATGGAGGATAAAACTGTATATATATGTATATGTGTTAATTATGTGTGTATATTGCTGGTGTGTGTGTGTAATTATTGGCTTAGGGTGTCATCTTTCCTACTCCACTGTCCTTTCCATGAGGACAGGACGCATATCTTCTTTGCCTGCCTTGGGACAGCTAATGTGGGCACAGAGCCCGACACATCAGAGACACACAATGGACGCTGAATGAATAAATGGATGT